GAAGATCAAATGTGGTATTTGCAAAGCACCCTACAAACCTTAAAGAAAAACTAAGATCCCTTAAGAACATTACATTCTGATAGGGGATACAAAACGTAAATAAATAGGTTCATTCAAGATACACACAGAGGAGCTGAAAGGGAAAGGCTTTGGAAACTGGGAGTGATGCTGAGAGCAGACCAGGAAAGGCTTCCTTCAGAAAAGGGGCATTTGTGTAGAGCCTTGAAGGATTCTGAGAAGTGCAGATGAGGAAGGGGAGAAGAGAAATCGTTTATGGGAAAGAGGTTTGTCTGCTTTACTAAATAAGTAATATTTAACAAACTAGGATGGGGATTCTGAGCTGGTGAATTGAAAGAGAAGTTGCAGTTTTATTCATTAGTGAGAAAATATACCAACATACTCCTGGACTCCCATAGAATACAAGTGATGAGGATGAATATGGCAGTGAGTCAAGTAGGTTTGACTCGCATCTAGTAAGTACTGACTAGGAGCCATTCCCCATATTAGCCTCTGAGAACACAAATTCAATGAATGAAACAGTCCCTATTTTCTAAGAGGATGGAGGGAAACAACAAAGACATATGTAAGTGTATACAGAGTAAAATATGAAGTGAATAAATACAAAGTAGTTAAATACAAGGTAGGTTCAGAGAAGGGGCACTAGCAGGTGGGAGCTCAAGAAAGATTTCCTGTATGAGGTGGTCCCAACACGTGCTGCATCTCAGGGAGAGAGGGGGATTCTTTGAGGCCAAGGTGAGGAAAGGAGTCCATTCTGTGCACTGAGGACAGCCAGTACAAAATCCCAGAGGCCAGAGGTAGAGTGTGTTATGTAAGCGACAGAGAAGAAGGGCGAGGTGAGGGAAGGTAAGAAATGTCCAGAGAGGCTGGAAAGATAGGTTGGAGCCAGGTTGTACAAGTCTTTAAAACCTAAACAGGGAAGATTATGTTTTATCCTGGGATAATAGAGAGCCGATGGAGTTTATTGTGTAAGGGAGTGAGTGACGTGGTCAAATCTATGCTTAAGGAAAATCACTTTAGCAGAGTGGTGGATGAACTGGCCTAGGAAAGACTCAGGCAAGGAAAGCAATTAGGAAGCCGCTGCAATAGGTGCTAGGTGATGAGGGCCTAAGCCAAGGTGGTAGCTGTGTGAGGAGAGAGAAGGTGGATATCAGAGCTTCTGTGGAGTCAGGAACGACAAGATTTGGCAACTGAACAAACATGGGGGGGTGAGGGAGAGGGGAAAGTGGAGGGTAATGCCAGTGTTACCAGTCTGGGAGACTGGAAGAATGGTGGTACCTTTGACAGAAATACAGAAGTTTGGAAGAGAAAAGCGTTTGGGGAGAAAGAGAATGAGTTCTGCTTTAGATGTGTTAAATTTGATCTGCCTCTGAGACAGTTTGAAACATCCATTAGGAGATTGGTGATATGTCACTAAAGCTTAGAAGAGACTGGGGCTGGATATGTAGTCACATGTATAGAGCTGATAATTCATTCCATGGGAGCTGATAAAGTCACCCGAAAAGTGTAGGGAAAGATAAGAGGGTCTAAGACAGAACCTTAGGGATCCTCCATAGTTAAGGAATGTGACATCCATGATGAGCCAACAGAGGAGACTGAGAAGCAATTAGAGAGATAGGAGAACGGAGAGAGAGTAGTATTACAAAAGCCCAGAGAGGAGAGGGAGTAGAGGGGAGTCAACAGAGGCAGATGCAATAGAGAGAGAGAGAGAGAGAGATGTAAGTAGATGGATAGAGACACAGGTAGGTAGATAGGTAGATAGGTATAGAAAGATTAAAAAGAAGCACTCCAGTATCTTTGCCAAGAAATTCCAGATGGGGCCACAAAGAGCTGGACGTGACAGAAATGATGAACAACAGCAATAAATAGGCTGAGAAGTTTGAGAACCAAGGAGACCATTAAGTTGGGCAGTGTGACTGTGGTTGGTAGCTTTGGACGAAGCTCCTTCAGTTGAATGATGAGGTTGGAAGCCAGATTGTAAAGTGAGAGAGGAGAGGCCTTGGAGTCGTTCCATACAGACAGCTTGTTCTAGTAGTTTAGCTGGGAAAGGGAGGAGAGAAAGAAGACTACAGTTTGAGGAGAAGTCAGGCTCTAGGGAAGGTTTTTTTTGAGGATGGAGGAAACCTAGGTATGTTTGAGGGCAGTAAGGAAGGAACCACTAAATAGAAACCTCCAGGTGAGTGATCCCATGACCCTGCTGCAGGTATACAGAGGGCCGAGTGGAAGAATCTGGGGAATACAGGCTGCTGACATAGGCCTTGTCAAACCTGCCATTTGAGTTATTTTGGCTCTGTGTGTGACAGAAGCAGACTGTGAACTGTATAGTAAAGCGTAATTTTTACTTTGCTAATGTAACAGCTCAAAAGCTCAGATTTACGTGTAGATGTCTTCATGTTGATTCAGCTTTGCTGATTTTACAGTGCTGAGTATATTTTCCATTTTCTGCCAGGTGATTTTGTGAACTTTGTTCATGATCCCAGCCCTTAGTTGTGCCTAAGAGTGTGGTTTTGATGAGTGAAGACAAACACTATGGGACAGCCTCATAAAAAGCAGCTCAGTGAGGACTGGTTGGGTTTGAACAGGAGCTTCCTAAACAGCTGGGATTTCTTGAGCTGCTTGCAATTTGCCCTTTGTTTTAAAGACCTAAAAAACCAAGACTACAAGAGAGAATGGGGGGAAATGGCAATCTCATTGACTAGCAGCTTTTCTGGAGTAAACATTATGTAACCTTAGTTAGGAGTTCCCTTGACTCCAGCAACAGCAGCAGTCAGGAAATCCTGGCTCCTGGGGACTAGAATTGCCGAGACCCGATGCAGATTTCTACAGGCTCTACACTGGTGTTGCTGTCTTCAAGCACATTTACAGACCTCATCCCCCGTGAGCTCTCCTCTCAGCCCTTCCCCCTGCCTGCCAGCCACTTGCCCCCATCATATTTGCAGTCCTCAGGTTCTCTGAAGCAGTTTTGAAACATTCAGCCCTCTCTACTTGAGCCCATACAAAAGCTTAGTGGCCAAAGTGGCTGTCCCCTGAGGTGGGTTAACCTGCTGCTGATCCACATTGTTTGTACTCTAGGAGCAAAACCTCAGTGCATGAGCAGGCAATGAGAGTTTTTAGTAGATTTCTTTGGAAGTTTACACCCTATTCCTATGTAATAACTGGCTGAATCTTAGGTCCAGACTTGATTTGCTAAGCCTAGGAACTGACTTAGTGATGTTCTATCATTCTTTCACACATCAAATGTTTATATTAAATTTGAACACACACAGAATTGTTATTTGTCATCATTTTAGCCCAGTAGGACCAGTTTTCTGTGGAAGTTAACTCTCCTTAACATCATTCCTATACCGAATCTTTTGAGTTTTTTTTTAGTTTCCTAAGAGGAGCTGTTATAGAAGGCATTATAATACTATGTACTTGGTAAGAGGCTCCATGGTATAGTGCATAGAGGGCCTACCTGAGAACTAGGAAAAGCTGGGTTCACGTCCCGTCCCTGACTCACCCCAGTGAGCCAATCACTAAACTACCTGTCTCATTTATCTTGTATGTAAATATCTTGTTTGATGTTGTCTTCTCATTAGACTGTGGGCTCCTTAAAAGCAGGGATTACTTTGGTTGTTTTGCCTTTCTTGGTATGTGTCAGTGCCTGACACGTAGTAGGTGCTTAGTAAATGCTTGCTGACTTATGTTTACTTTGCCTATATTTGTTGAACCAGTTTTTGGAAAGGTTGCCCAAAAGGGCAGGTATTCATCGACCTTCTTATAGAGAAGAGCAGCTTTCTCGTTCCCTAAAGCCTTGATATCCTTCCTCTGCACCAAGGTGGGGAAAAACTGGCAGGCAGGTGCCTCCAAGTCACAGCTTCGTCCTCACCTTTGAAAACACCTCTGAACATTTAGATGCTACTGCTGCCTGGCAGTATAGCCTGAGGGAGTTTGTGATTGAGAGGTTGGGGACCCTTACCTAGCATATCAGGGTTCTAAAAGCCTTTAGGGAATCCCTACAGACAGAGCTAGTGATGGGGTTGGAAACTTGAGTCTGAAGTAGGTTCCCGTCTGCTCTGCCTGGTTGCTTGAGCAGAAAGCCAAGAGAACGGCAAGGCAGGGGGGAGGCAGAGGGGCAGAGAGTATAGGACAGTGAGGAGCAAGGACTCTAGTGCCTTTCATTTACATTCTGTTTGTCTGATGGTCAGTTTTTAGCCCCTGCTTTCTGGCTGGGGTAGCTGAGGGCAGTTTCACAGAAAGATAGAACACAACCAAGGTTAAGAATATGGGTATTTATTTCCCTTCCAGAATCACTAATGCAGTGTGTGCTGTGCTTGGCCTGCCCATCAGCATTATTGATGTACGGCTTCTGAAAGTTCATTTATTCATATTTGATGTGCCCAGTGGCAGCAGCTGAAGTTAAGTAATCATTTACAAGGGTTTTGTGGGAAACACGTCAGCATTTGGAAAATCTCAGATCAGATCAAGTCTATTCCAGAGACGCTTTCCAGGAACGTGATTTGCAAAGGCTTTCTGAAGCCGGCTGTCCAGGGGGACCTAGCCCAAGCTAATGAAAAAGATGTTCTTTTGTTCTTCAGTCTTCACAGTGATTAAATAGCTGCTGTGTTAGTTAGACAGCAAGGCTAGAGCTTTCCTTCTGTTCTGGAGCCCCTTCCTCCTTCCAGTTGGTTTGTAGTCATAAGTGATTTTGGCATCCTGCTATCACCCCTTCTTTCTGGAGATTCTTTCTCCGCCTTCATCAGTGCTACAGATGTTTAAAATAGAAGTTTCTTAGTAATCCTCACAAAATCCCATTGAGCACATTCAGACCAGGTGCTGAGGGTCTCAGCTTACACAAGGGCGAAGTGGGCCTGGAAGCCTGCGATCAAAGCCGGGCAGAAATGGGGACACCCCTTCTCCCCCCTACCCCAGTCCTCAACTTAGGAGCTCCAACCGTGCCTCCCCTCCCATCCAGAGCCAGACCTTCCGTGCTGTGCTTGCAGGTTGTTCCAGATGATCCCGCTGCAAAAGCATTCCCAGAAAAATGCCGTGTATACACAGTTCATAGCCACGTTACTTGAAGAGTTACATTTCAAGAATGAAGACCTTGAAAGATTAACCAGGATATTTACAGCTAACTGTTTGTCAGAATGGTAAGTTATCACCCTTTGCTCCTTCCCTTACCTTCCCCTACCTCCACTCCCCTGCCCCTTTCTGGTGCGATTTCCCCCCCCCCACCCCTACCAGTTTGGAGCCCTTGAATGCAAATCCGCAAATGTCAGCCCAAGAGGTCACGGGGCTGTGCTTCCTTGGTCACTTTTCTCAGGGCAGCAGTAGTCTGGACACCTCCCAGCACTCCCTCCTTATAAACTTCAAAGTGGGGCCCATGAGTGCCATTTACTCCCCCACCCCTGGCTTTCCCAGTTCCCAGCTGGGAAGTTTCCCACCAGGAAAGTGAAAACTAACCCAGCCTGAGAGCCAGCCATGCCCAGGAGAGAACATGCTCATCCCCAGCCCTGAAAGCAGCTCAGGAGCCTCGCTGGATTTATTCCGTGGACAGATCTCTGTCCTGGAGAGATACTGTGCATGTTACTGCAGGTTTCTCCCAAAGTAAAAAATGTCTTTTTGTCTGTTTCTAAGAGAAAATCTGAGATACTCACACCTAGAGTAGACAGTCTACAAAATGCGCAGTGTTCTAGCATCAGCCTTCTTGGAGCTTTGCTGAATGAGTCGTCACAGTGTAACAGGTTTGTGGGCAGTAAAGCTCCAAACCATCCGTGTCGTTGAGAGGAAGTGAGGACTGGGGTGCGTGGCACCGGGGACGTGGTTCTCTTGGCAGAGGTGGATCTTGGATGAGGGTCTGGAGAAATTGGGAGCAGCCTCCCAACCATCTGATGTGCTGGACACACGGAAGCTTCGAGCGCCCTGGGCCAGTTGGCCAAGGTTAGCTCACTTCCCTCGGGCCCTTTCCGAACCTCAGCCTCACGCCCAACCTTTTCCCTGTGATTCCTGTTTCAGGGGCTCAGCGAAAGTTGTTTTAAGTGTTAAATACTTCTCTTACACACTTATCTGTGTTCTTTATATTCTGCTATAATAGCAGTCCTGCCTCATTTTAGACTAAATAACTGCCAGGGAGTTAACATGGAAAGTGTTCTGAAGCCTTCTTGCTGGGCCCCTCCTCTCGCTTCACAGACCCAGTCCGAGAAGAGACACCAGAAGGAGGACCTCACACTTCCTTCTCCCAGGTCGGCCACTTCATCATTTATGGAGATTCTGCAGCTTTTATTTCCTTAATTAAAGTTCAAGTCTCAGTATCCGAATCTAAATGAGCTCCCGAGAAGCTATTCAGTGGCCTGGCTTGTCGGGGTCTGTTCCCGCCATGTTGCAGGCGACTGACGGGAGGCGTGAGAGCTCCCCCGCGCAGGGCTGCACTTCTGGTGAACTGTCGAGCAGTCGGCCAACAAGAGTCAATAAAAGGAGTTTTCCCAGGAAGCTGCTGTGGCGCTCACTCCATCACTCTCTAGAAAAGCTGTGACTTGTGAGTTTACAGGGGATACAGCCACCTGGAGTCAAGCCTGAAGCCTGCTTACCCTTTCTTAGAATTCAGGAAACCTGAAATTGTCTTTAATTTTCAAGAAAATCATTTTCTAGAAATGAGGTTGCCTTGTCAAAGGGCATGTGTCAGGCACGATGCCAGACCTTTGGGTGCCAGCAGATTTTGGTGGTTGTTCAGTGGTGTCCACTCTTCATGACCTCGTGGGCAGGGTTTTCTTGGCAAAGATACTGACGTGGTTTGTCACGTCTTTCTCCAGTGGATTGAGTTAAACAGAGGCTAAGCGACTTGTCCAGAGTTGCACAGCTAGTAAGTGTGAGGCCACATTTGAACTCAGGTCTTTTGACTCCAGGCCCAGCACTGTATCCACTGAGCCATCTGGCTGCCCTTCTTGCCATCAGATTGCCCTGAGTAAACCTGGAGAGGCGAGACAGACGGTGGAGGGCTGAGGGGTTCGGGAAATGGGGGCCCCAGCAGCGGTAACCCACAGAACTTTGTCTCCTGACCCCTGTTGGTTTCTGGAGGCGTCTCTGAATGATCTGAAATTGACAGAAGGCAAGGAACCATGGTGGAACTCAGCTTCCACCAGAAGGAGCCCCGGCCTGGGCATCGGGAGACCTGGGCTGTGGTCCCCGTTCTTCTGTTCACTAGCTTTGTGATCTTGAGCCGGTGCCTCCCCTTCCTCATCTGTACAAGGAGCGGCGGAGCTAGTTCAGGGAGTCTGGCACAGCTTACGGTGGCCTCCAGCACGGTCTCACAGTGGAAGCCTTTGGCCCCGCACTCCTCCTTCGCAAAGCCTGGGGACGTGTGAAATGTCGGCAGGACAGAACACGCTCACTCTCCCGCCCTGGTCTCTGGACTCCAGCTTCAGGCTTTCTTTGTTCACGAACCTGAAACGCCTTTACGCGATCACACTCGTCTGCTGCTTCACCTCTCTCTGACCTCTCTGACCCCGTGGCGTTGTTTTCTGTTCTCTGCCAGGCCTCCAGTCTCTGCACCCCTCATGTCCTCCGCAGGCCGTGGCTGCCCCGGCTAGCCTGCGCCCTCCTGGCTCGCCTCCTGCCTCTCAGACCGCTCCTCCTCAGCCCCCTTTGCTGGACCTTCATTCTCGTCATGCCCACTGACTGTGTGTGTTTCCCAAGGGCCTGCTCTGAGCCTTCTTCTCTTCTCCCTCTGAGCTCTCTGGCATGGGTGTGTCATCAGCTCCCATGCGAAGTTCAGTGGTCATTTCTATACAAATGATCTATGTATGTATATACATGTGTACATATAAATACACACCTGCCAGTTTCTCTCTAAATAGATATGGATATACACACACGTTCACACACACACACACACACACACGCAGTCACGCGTCTGTGTATGTGTATCTAGACAGCCTTCATCTCTGTCTGCCGAGTTTCAGTCTCTCATCGGATGACTTTTGGCCGTCTTGAATTAGACGTGTCCCATAATCGTAAACTCAGCACGTCCCAAAACAGACCTTGATTTCTGTCTCCCAAACTTCCCCTTCTTCCTGACTTCCCTGTTACTGTCGAGGGCACCACTGTTGTCCCAGACCACCAGGCTCACAACCTTGGTGTGGCGTCCTCTGCTCAGTCATGCTCGCCCCACGTATCTAGTCTTCCTCAGATCTCTGTCTCTGACTTCATGGTATCTTGCATATATATCCCCTTTTCTCCACACCCTAACCTAGGCTCTCATTACCATCTCCCTGCCTCAAGTCTGTCCTCACTCCAATCCATCCTCTACCAAAGTGATTTTCCTAAAGTTTAAGTCTGACCACGTCACTCCCTTACTCTAAATTTCAATGGCTCCCTTTTACCTCCAGGATCAAATATAAAATTCTCTGACATTTAAAATTTCACAGCCTGGCCCTTTCCCACCTTTCCAGTCTTCTTAAACGTCACAATCCAGTCACACTGACGTGCTTGCTACTCCTCGCATACGACACTCCCAAATACATGCTTTTTCATCATCCATCCCCCTCGGACCAGGAGTTCTCTTCCTCCTCACTTCCACCTCCTGGCTACCCTGTTCTTCAAGGCTCGTATCCTACCTTCTGCCTTTGCTGGACCCACCCACCGCAAGTGCCTTCCCTTTGAGATACAGCTACACCGTGTGTATCTTGTCCGTATATAGTTATTTGCATATTGTCTCCCTATTAGAATGTGTGCTTCCTGAAATCAAGGACAGTGATTTTTTTTTTTTTTTTTTTTTTTGCATTTCTTTGTAACCCTTGTTCTTAGAACAGGCCCTGGCACACAATAGTTTTTAATAAATGCTGGTTTACTGACTACAACCCCAGAACACACATATGAATCGCATCTCTAATACTAAGTGCAGACCAGTTTATTAAATGAATTAATAAAGGAATGAAGTAAAAAATTCCTTTTGGTCTATATTGTTAAGCCACCATTTAAAAAAAAGAGCATGGTTTAGTTATGCCAACCCATTTAAATAGTATGCTTCATTTACAAGAAATATGGAGAATGTAGTCAAAAGTTTTGCTTATGTTTTTAGTGGCTAGTTAAAAAGAAAAGAGTAAAGATTTTTTTTAAAAGGAAGGAATAAATACTAGTAAAGCCTGAAACTGCAGGTATACCCCCTCCCTAAAATCTGTGGCCATCTGAAATTCCATCTTGAAATACCTTTGGACTACTGGGAAGGAGTCAGATCCAAGATTCACCAACATTTTTGATGGGAAAGGGAGCTTACTGACAACTCCACTTTGCTCCTCCTGGCTGTTAAAATATCATTGCCTAGAGTCTTATAAATCTGATCAAAAAGGACTTTTAAAAGGAAGGAAAGAGAAATCTGCCTGTTTACTAATCTAGATACTCTAAAAAGTAGCCGTGCCATAGGAGGAACAGTAGCATAGAAGACCAGTAATTCTTAGAAGGCCAAACTGAAGACCAAAATCACCAGTAAAATCCATGGGCTCAGATGTCTGAATCCAAACACACAAAATAGCGTTAAGGAGCAAGGTGATTTGAGAAGCTGACAACAAATTGACAATCAAGACACCCCTAAGACTGGGATATGGTCTTAGAAAAGTATGTTTTATTCACAAGAAACAGAAAAACCTTAGCTGACAGGGGTGGGAACAGATTTAGATTTGAAGTAAAGAGGGTATATGAAGGTGAGGAAGTCCAGGCATCAGCTCAAGAAGGAATGACAGAGATCAGCAGAAGGACAAACGGAAGCAACATTCCCAAAGGATTCAGAAGTAGGAACTAGCACGCTTGGTGCCAAAGTGGGCGATGGTAATGACAGCCAGTGCTTTATTTAAAAAGTACTTCTATGTGTGATCTTTATTCAGTCTTCATAAGTCTGCAAAGAATTATGTGTATTTCTCCATTCGATAAATCAGGAAGCAGGTTTAGAGGTAACTTTCCTGTGGTCACACAGCCAATAAAATCTAAAGGCAAGATTAAAACTCAGGCCATCCTGACTCCAAGCCCAGCACTTTACTGGTGGTGCTGTGATGCCTCATTGAGGTGGGACCTAAATCGTCTGGATGTTTTCTGGAGCTCTTTCTACTAGTAATTTTTCGGCTTGCTTTAGTGATGATTGGTGGTGTGAAAGCAACAGGGGAAATTGCTATTCTTGACGAATGTTATTGCCATAGAGGTGCAGAGACCATCTAGTCAAAATCTCTCACTTGACAGATGAGACTGATATGCAGGAAAGTCACAAGAAGCATTTAACCTAGTCAGGGGTGGGAAACCTGCAGCCTTGAGGCCACATGTGGCCTTCTAGGTCCTCAAGTGTGGCTCTTTGACTAAATCCAAATTAAGAGTCAAAGGGCCACGTTTGAGGACCTAGAGGGCCACATGTGACCTCGAGGCTGCAGGTTCCTGTATTGCTAAGCAGCCTTATTTAGCGCAGCTTAAATTAGCTTTGGTTCGGATTGCTTTAGAAATGACACAGTCTCAAGTTTGAGTTATATATAAGTGTATATTAAAAGTATTTATCATTAAGATAGTAAAATAGGATTAAGGTTAGTAAGTAGAATAGAGTTAGAGTTATTAAGTCCTGATAGCTAACAATAACATACTTAAGTCTCAATGGGTATCAAATCTTGTCACAATCAATCATCATCGTCAGGGGAACCATCTACATCGTCACATGGTCTGGGGAGCCTGGGTTTTCAGCCTCCAGAGTCCCAGTGGGAAAATCCCAGGTTACACGCCCGCACCTTCGGGGAGACTCTGAAGGTAAAGTCAGGGCTACCTGCTTTTAGTAGTTCCTTCTGTGATCTGTGGGAAGGGAGCTGCTCTCAAAACTGTCCTTGAGAGTATTCCTATTTATGAATATCCGGTTCCTGGAGTGGTGGCCAGTCTTTTCCTGGGAGCAAGTACCATAAACAGTCCTTCAACGTCTAGCTACAAATAAGATCAACAGGGTCAAACTGCAGGTATATGGAGCCTTGACTTGAGCTCACCAAGGGCAGTTGGGTAACCCCCTCCTCCCAAAGAAGCAGCAGTGGTCCAATCCCTCCCTTAGTCTGTGTCAGAATATCTTTTTTGAATTCATTCATCACAGTTCCCCACACCTGACCTAGGCTCTTTGACTCCCAAGCCCGAAGCCTGTCCAGTGTACCAAGGAATTGCTGCTTGCTGAAGCTGGCATGTTGGGAGGTGATCTCTCCATCTCAGTTGTGATAGAGGAGAAGAAAATGCAACAGGTACCAAAGATGAAAGTAGGGGCAGCTAATAGAGAATGAAAAAGATGGCACGGTCCTTTGAGAGTAGCCTCAGGAGAGCCACAGCTCCAAATGAGCCACACTCGGTGAACGATGCTAAGGATAACAAAAGGGTTGGGTTCAGTTTTATTTGAGCCTTTTAGCAGGGGTTAAAAAGCAGATTGAGGGAGAGATTGGACCACTGCTGCTTCTTGGGGATGGGGTGAAAGAAATGAAATTATTCTGATCCATGGCAAAGAGATGGCAGAACTACTCAGGCTTTTATCTGGTTTCTGTTTTCTCTGCCAAGGAGAATGATGTGGACTGAAAAGGAAAGAGCAAAAAATGACTAATAGGGAAAGGAGTGGGTTACCCAACTGCCCTTGGTGAGTTCAAGTCACCAGGCCCAGACAACCACCCTGGTGATTCAAAGAAATAAGGAGTCAATCTGTTATTTCTGGTGCCACGTGACAGCAAAAAGGCAAACTTCCAACAAAGGAAAGGGGTGGAAAAGACGGGTGAGTGAGCTTGACTCAATTGCTGGCAGAACTGCAGAACATGGGACCGTGATTG